CCCCCCCCCTCTCTCTACACATATATATCCATTTTCTCTCTCTAAATATCTGTACATATAGACAGAGAGAGGAAAAAGTAGTGAATGATGCCATAAGCATTCACAATACTTTTACTGGCCCCCTTCTCTCTCTCTCTGTATCACATTGTACTGTTACATATAGTAGTACTTCCTTTGTGAAGCTTTTAGAGAGAGAAAGTACATATTTTTTGTATCGGAGGATCTTCTAGAGAAAGAAAGTTGAAAAAAGGAGTCGTCGGAGAGTTAGCCGATGGCGACGACAGGGCAGAGTAATTGCAGTTACGATCTGTCATTTAAGATATTGTTGATCGGAGATTCTGGAGTAGGCAAAAGTAGCTTGCTCGTTAGCTTCATTTCTAATGCCGTCGACGATCTTGCCCCTACCATTGGTATTATATAACTACTCTCTTTCTTTCTTTCTCTTTCCTCGTTTTATCAGCTACATAGATACTGTTGTGAAAAAATTGCGTGCTTGTATTTTTTTATAAAATAAGTTTTTGCTTGATCCTTTGATTTGGATTTTGGAACTTATTTGTTCGGAATTTTGAATCCGGAGTCGATGAACTACTTTAAATCGGCGAATTTGTATGATTTATGCAAGCTATTGCTGTTAATTTTCAGATAAATCACTGTTGACTGCTGTTGTTTCAAGTTATATATTTAACTCAGCAGCTGTTTTTTCCCCGCATTGATTAAAGCTTTTTTAAATTATCAGATTAGTTATAATTTCAATCATAGAAGCTTACTTGATCCTTTGATTTGGAATTGTATGATTTATGCAATTTATTTTTGGTGATTCTCAGATTAATCACCACTTACTACTGTGATTTTCAAGTTTTATATACAAATCAGAAGCTGGTTTTTCTTTTTAATGATTGACTAAAGTTAAGATTTTGATACTCAGAGATTGATCACTGTTAACTGTGAAGTGTATAGTTTGGGAAATCAGATGGATTCTGGAACATTTTAATGACTGATATTATAATTAATCAGAACTCTAAGTAAAATTAGAGTTATGCGTCAATGTTGTTCCTTAATGTTGAGGATTTTGTTGTATTCTTAGCAGTTATTTTGAACTTAGTACTTAAACGGGAAAAGAATCATTATTTGGATCCTAGCTCCAATGCAAACTTATCTTACACATGTTATTCACCATCACCACCACCACCAACAACAACTACACCTCAGTCTTAAACAAGTTTGGCTTGCTATATGGATTATCACTGACCATGTTTCGCCATCTAAAATCATCTCAAGCCAACATTATATAGAATAAGGATAAAAATGGAAAGTACTGGAAGTTCTCTATATCTCCTATTGGCATAAGAATCTCTAACATGGTTAAAAGGCTCCTAGAAAGCATATATATACAAACATGTTACTCACCGAAACTAGAAAAAATATTTTCATATTAGTAAGAAATAGAAAAAGTTCTTTATTTTATAATAAATTTATCTGAGATGCACTATTGTCATATAGTGCTACTCTGATTTATTTCTTAGAGTACCATAAAGACAGAGGAAATGAGAAAAAAACAGAAAGAAGACAATTATTAGGACTGTGAAAAACACCGAAGACTGGAGCTTCCTAACATGTTGAGGAAGAAGCCCGAACTAAAGGTTCGGTTAACAGAAGGGACGACTTTTTCTCCATGCACTAGACTGTCCTTTAACATGAAATTGTTTTTGAACCCCATTTTGACACATTGTGTCAGGTGTTGAGTTGAGCTGATTTCCTTATTAACAATCAAATTTTTTTTGGGGGTTAAGGTTATATTCTATTGATACTCAAAAAAATATGTACAGTTGAGTCCAAGGAGCAACTTTGATAGGCTACTCCAGATATACATCACAATCTGCTTCTATCAATTTTTGTGTCTATCTATCCTACACTATACTTCCATACAGACACTTGTTTCAAAACAACTACATCAAGGATTCCTACTGTTCATTCTAATTATCTATGGAACCCAATTCAGCTGCTGCAATGCTTCTTTCCACTTGACTATGTTCTTCCCATGTATGTGCAGTACTATCTCCCTGCAGATTTGGAGATCATCAAATTTAGCTTGTTCAAATCTGATCCTGTTCCTCTCTCTCCAAATCAATGCAACAGTCATGGCAAACACACAGCTAGTATTAACAATCAATTTTAGTTTTATATCAGATCACTAATGCTTCTATTATGATAAATATGCAGATATAATTCTGCTATATTTGTGGATCACCTAAACTAATCTGATATGTGTTTTTGAAATATAGCATATTAAGTTGTTTATGCATAGTAGCATAGAGTAGAATTCCTTCCTGTCAGCATCTTGATTCGGGAGAATGCTCCAACTGGCAAAAGAATGTAAGTTAAATAGAATGAGGGAAAAAGAGCAAGCAAGAAATGTAGCTTTAGAGTGTTCAACTTTTTCCTTTCCCTCATCTCTCTCTCTCTCTCTCTCTCTCTCTCTCTCTCTCTCTCTCTCTATGATAACTAATATAGTAACATCCTTTTCAAGTTGTCGAGTAGCTTTTCTTATGATGGTTAATCTCTGATACAATTTCCATTGACTTGCTATTCCTTGTCTGATGACTAGGTGTTGATTTTAAGATAAAGACGCTTACTGTTGGTGGGAAAAGACTGAAGCTTACCATTTGGGACACAGGTAAGAACCAAAATAAGTATCTAGACTTTAGAATTTAGTTTGTGTATTTTATGCTGCCAAATCCTTACCTGTGGTCATCATCACAAAATGCATAGTCTGTAGGTTCAGATGAAATTTGCACTAACACTTTCGAACTGCATAAACTAGGAACCTTTGATATTAAAGCTTAATATCCTCGCTGTTGGAGTTCTAAAATGTTTGTGACCATTTACGTCAATATTCCTTACCACTGGGAATATGGCATTTCATGTTACATAGATGACACATGATTAAACCAAATCTAGTTAGGAAAAGAGTATTTGCTTTGCATGATCAAGTATGTGAAGCAGTGGTATCAAATTAATGCAGAATCACTTAAATCTCTTTGTGCGATGGTGGATTTATGTGCTTAAAGACAAACTTAATCTACATGATTGGTTGGTCTAACTGAAGATGTGCTAATTTGATTTTCACCTGCATTTGAGATGCATGACTTGTAAAGAAAAAATGGACTTGTGGTCTAACAAACTCCAAAATCTAGCTCATGAGGTAAATAATGTCCAAGATCATTTAAGGAGACTATAACCCATCCCCTCATCCATATTTGACAACTCTAAAACTCTCCTTGCATGCCAGAATATCTGGAGCGTGGATAACATAACATGGGAGTCCAACATTGGACAACACAACAATAGTGATGAGTCTGACTCTCTGACCATGTTTAGAAAAATAAACCCTTGTACTTAACTCAATTCAAATGCTAGTCACTGGGTGAGGATTGTCTAAGACCATATAAGGAGGCAATAATCCATTCCCCCTTCCAATGTGAGACATTGTAACATGACTACCATTATACTTTCCTCTATGCAATAGGGTTAATATGTTGATACTGCATAATGTTGAATCACTACGCGGAGAAGTGTCTAATGCTTTTCTTGGAGATCAAGAGTTTCAGAATTCAATATTCTGGCGAAACTACTGAAATCAGTTTATCATTGTTATAACTTGTACTGTTGTTCTACTCCAGCATATTAACCATTTGGTATCAGTATCTTTTCGAGAAACTTCATTAAGTATTTGATTTTAGTTAGATCTAATGGAAAGTTGAAATTATACATATCATGTTTCTTACAGCTGGACAGGAGAGGTTCAGGACACTGACAAGCTCCTACTACAGAGGTGCTCAGGGGATCATTCTTGGTAAGTAATATCTCTCTATTTCAATTTATGTAGTCACATTACAATTCAGGGAGTCAAAGAGGTTCTTCTTTGACCACACTCTTCTTAAATATATTTAAAATATTTTGATTATTAACTATTATGACTTGCAGTATTTTTATTTAGTTTCCAAATATGTAAATTTTATTTCAAAAGCTTAGTAAATTTATTTTTTAATTCACACACTGAAATTAAATACTTTGACCCCCGTACTCCGAACCCTGCCACATAAAGTGGAATGGAGAGAGTAAGTGAATTGATGCATTTTCATATCTTGCAAGAGAGGATACATCCATTGTTGATAATGCATCTATGAGTTAGCTAGAGTTAGTTTTTTGTTATTACATCATTCATCTTCATAGCAGTTTAATTCCATTCTGCCTTTTTTCACCATGATAGGACAATGCATAATTAGGAGTCACTTGTATTAGCAATCTATAAACGTTAGCATCTGCTATAGCTTGTCAAGGTTGGAATATAGTGATTCACTTTTCTTTCAGAGGATTACACTCGACGCTTATTCATTTGCTTTTTATGTTTTGTGGGCTTTACATCTAATGCCATTCTTCTTATATATAAGATCATGATTGGATCCGCATATGTTTGGTAAAGAGAATAATCTTATCCTTTGAGAATAATCAAAAATGGACAGTGTTCAATTGGAACATGAAAACGTCCATATTCTTTTTTGATAAGCCATTTGTGATCCAGCAGCGGTTCATATTTGTTTATGGCATGTCCCTATTTAGAATGACTTTTCATGATAATACTGGTGAAAGTTCAAGCTATTTTTTAAGCTTCTTCTCTTAATTAATGTCAATCCAAGTACCATTCACTCTTTTAAATTACAATGAACAGTATGAAACTTTGGTCGGATCTTGATGGAAATTGACAAGCACACTTATGTTGAACAATTCGATTGAGAAAAAGGCACAACCTGGTACACTAAGCTTTTGTTACACATGGAGTTCGTGAAGGGTCTAGGTCTATATAGTGTACGCACTAAGCTATTGGGTCTATTGTACACAGCTTTACCTTTACATTTCTGCAAGCTCTGTTTCCACTGTTTGAACCCGTGAACTTCTAATCATACAGAGTCAACTTTTACCGTTGTGTCAAGGCTCCCCTTTGTTCAAATTCAAACCATCTAGTTTTCAGATACTTGGAAGAAAAGTAGTTACCTATTTCTTTATAAGAAGCATTTATCTGTGCTTTCTTTGTCGACATATTGCTACATTCCTTTTATATTCTTTGTATTCTCCAAATTCTTAAATGCATTTCTAACTATTATGCTTACAATTGCTTATTTAAATTTTGCTTACAGTCTATGATGTAACAAGAAGAGAGACCTTCACAAACCTGTCTGATGTGTGGGCAAAAGAGGTGGAGTTGTATAGTAATAATCAGGATTGTGTAAAGATGCTGGTTGGAAATAAAGTTGACAAAGTATGTTCTTTGCACAAGTGGACGTGCTTCTCTCTCTCTCTTCGAACTCTTTTTTGATAAGTGTGTTGGAGACATTATTTCATGGAGAAGACAAGCAAATTAAGATGTTAATATCACCTCTTCAAATGCAGTATACTTTGCTGTGGAATCTGGGATCTAGGAACTTGCATAATGCTTATAATATGAAGTCATGAAAACTATGATTAGGGGATTTTCTTTCTGCCTTCTTTTGCAAATAGTGGTATTGCAGTTGCAAGAATTTAATATGTAAAGACAAGAAATACTAACGAAGCTATATGTGACCTAATATAAAGGGGTTCAGAAAAAAGAAAAAAGAGTACATGTCCTAAATGTAAGAGGGAACAATGTCAAGAAGGATACTCATAAATCATAATAAGTCAGGCGCAAAGTTAATGTACTGGGGCAGAATGATTTACAGAGTTAGAGGGTGACTTTGGATAACTGTTTGAGAATATTTTCTTCAGAGAATGTATTACCATCTTACTTTGTTGTATTCTGTTTGTTTATCATCCACATTTCCTTTACCAATTGGGTCATTAGGTTTTCCTGGTCGCATCTTATTGCTTTATGTGGAATATCTGTCAAGATTTATCTTTATTTATCTTTATTTATCTTTAGCATGAACGTCAAAGTTGCAGTCCATCAATTGGCGCTTGAATAAATTCGTTTGTAAACCAGCTTTTATTCTTACTTTGCTATTGGGTTATCAGGAATCTGAGAGAGCTGTGACCAGGGAAGAAGGCATTGCCCTAGCAAAGGAGCTTGGAAGTCTATTTCTTGAATGTAGTGCTAAAACTCGAGAAAATGTGCAACACTGCTTTGAAGAGCTTGCCTTAAAGGTAAATTATACATTCATGACTTCTCTGTAGGTTTCACTAGACATGTTGTCAAAATTAGCATCTTATGCAAGTAACATGGTCCGCTGGTTAATCTTTTTTTATTGGTAAAAAGGGAAAAGAAAAAGCAGCCGATCATGTTACTTTGCATATGATTCTGGTTGTTAATATAACATTATTTTGTAGATGCATCTAGTTAACCTTTTTAGATCAAAAACCCTCGTTACAAATTATCCTGATGGGGGTATCTGGCAGCAGCTTTTACTTTATTTTTTTTGGTGTAAGATTTCCCAAGCACATCTACTTGCTGTAGGGGAAATCTCTCTTGCTTCCAATCATGATTTACATTTATATTTCCCCTTGTTTGACGCATAAGGGATAATGTATTGCCTTTACAATATCAGTCAGTAGATAAGTGCAATTCCAAAGGTACATCATGCGTTAGGTACTGAGAGTATGACTATTCGACTCTCAAGATCAGGAAACATTATAGCCAAATGTTTCTTACCTGGTTGACTAAACTCCTTGACTTTCAAGATTGAGAAACATTGCAGTCCAGCAGTTCTGGTCTGGTTGATTAAAAACGATTCTTTTGCTCAACTCACATCTCTTAGGGATTAACTGTCAATTGATTTTCTAACTAGACTACTGTATTCAGATAATGGAGGTACCTAGTCTATTGGAAGAAGGATCCACTGTAGGCAAGAGAAATATCTTGAAACAGAAACAAGAACAGAGCACACAACAGGGTGGTGGTTGTTGCTCATGAAACTCTTCAAACTAGGACCAACAAATTGACAGACATATCAAAACTGTGCACTAGATGGACCTGAAAAGTCGCAGTTAATCAAATATGTATATGATGTTTTCTTTTTCCTTCCTGTTATCCTGCTGCTTTGAAATTGGTTTAGAAGTCTCATGTAAAGTAATTGGTCCGTTTGGTTATTTGCCAATGTTCTTGTTAATATTTGCCAGATTGCTGTCAAATTGGGCGTGTTTCACAAATTTATGTGCATTTCATCACTAATTGTCTTTGAGAATCAGCATCATATTGCACTATCCACTGTATGTGTTTTCCTTTCCTTTGTACATCTCCTTCAATACGAGGCAATGTCAGAATGTTTAAAAGATACTTGAGATTTGCAAACCAAGATCCTTTTAGGGTCTAATTCGATCTCCCCCAGTATTCAGTCTACTGTCCGAGACCTTACGGTTAAAAATAGAATAAACTCTTGCGGAAATATAAATCCCAACTATTTATAGAATGTAAAGTAAAAGGAAAGCTGCTCTAAGAGAAATAGCCATAACACATTTTAGTTTTCTAAACAGTTTAGAGATGCTTATGGTATTATCAAATTCCCGAAAGGGAATGGTAACACATTTAAGACTGAAGTGCTGATGCTCCTGAATGGTTAGGCATTCAGAAGTCTGGATACACATTTTCCAGTCCTTAGAATCACATCCACTAGAGTATCAAGAAACTAAATTGTTTCAGGTTTACCAATTTAGTTGAAGACTGCAAGTATACAGTTAATTGTCAAAAAAATTAAAGAAATAATGAACGAAAAGTGTGAGAAAAGCAGTAAACGATCTTTTTGATGGAGCATACCCTTAGTTTCGGAGAGAATAATGGTGTGTCGTTACAGAAAATAAAAATGTAAGAGTTAAGAAGCTAAGTTATAATTATATACTAAATATAAATGGAGAGGAGTTGGCGATGGGAGCTTCTAAGTGAGAAGAGTCCAGAAATTTTGATTTCCAGAAAATTGAATGCCATTGCAGATGTACTGATACTCAAAATTCTGACTTTAAAAATATTCCTATGAGACGGGGGAGTGGAGGGAGGGAGCACCAGAACCTCCCTACACAGACTGCTCAACTCATATCAGAAATGTACGTCCTATTAGTATAGCATTATAATTGATAAATCACTGACAACCACTTCAAAACCTGAATATTTCTCAAACTGCAATCTCATTATAAGGAGTATTGCAACTTTCAGGAGAACTTCTGTCTCCTATCGGTACATAATTTCCAAGCTTCTAAGTTCTAAGAAGCAGTTCCGACAAAATCTTGTACTTATAAAACAGGGTAAACATATTGGTGAAAGCCAAGGGCCCCAATTTTCTGTACGAAGGCCTAACGGCCAAGTTCAGCATCTATAGCTTCTTGTAAGATTCTGCAAGCTTCACTTTCAGGCTCAACAAGCTCAGAAGGCATCTGCAATAATCACATGTCAAACAAGCCATATTGAATTAATCAGACATAAAAAAAATCACTTAATTAATGATTTCAATTTATTTAAATGCCGATTCAGCTGCTAACCCTTCCATATAAATTTCTCGTCATAGCAGAAGCACCAGAAGCTAACAATAATTTGATAACATCTACATGTTCACCTCTGGCAGCATGATGGAGGGGCTACCAAAATTAAACAAAACGAATCAGTACAAGATGCTTTAAGAAGTATAATTGAAGAGCTATTTAACTAATATCCAGCTATTATATATTTCAATTTCCAAGATTTAGGTCACAACATTTTGCGTAATGAAACTTTAGTAGAGATGCCTCACCACATCACCTTCTTCATCAAAGGACTCCATCATCCTCTTCACACATTCAGGTTCAGGGGCACTGTTTATTAGCAGACGGACTATTTCCGTGTATCCTGTTAAAAAGTCGAGCATTCGGAAAGTAAGCAATTATGCTTTCCTTTTTTACTGAACCAACACCTATACCCTTAGTCCTCTCACTTCCTAGAAATGCTTGGGTTAAGGTAGTTGGTTTACTTGCTGCCTGATTAATTAGGTCACAGCTTAAGATTAGCTGAATTTACTAGTTTATTAATCATACAATTCAAGTGTACCATCTCTTTAAGGTAAAAAGATCAACACGCCTCAAGATATGACAACATAGGGCTTGGAACTTGCAACCATATGTATACCTCCAGCACAAGCATCATGCAACGGAAGTGCTCCATCTTCATCCTTAGCCTCCACAGAAGCTCCCCTCTCTAACAGTAGCTGGGTAGAAATACAAAATTATATTAGTTTGAGTCCAACACATGATAATGAAATCAAGACCAGCAGATCCAGCAGAATGAGATAACGTCTGCCACAGGGACAAGAGAGCATAGCTGAGTGGACCAACCTCCACACAAGCCAGATGGCCATACAGACAAGTTAGATGAAGAGCAGTGTCCCCATCTTCAAGAGGTTCATCAATGTTTCCGTTAAAATTATCTGCAGCAATCCGTCAAGTATATAATACGTGAGTATGATACAGACATGGATAACAAGGTACATAGAACAACTTATAGTTTGATAGGTAAGATAATGCAGCGCAACTTAGTTACTTCTCTCAAAAGATAGGGGTGACTAGAAATCCACCATACATAACAAGCAGCATCATGATCAAATTGCAGCTCGGTAAACGTTATTTTAGATTCTATAAAAATCAATTATAATTAGATTGGGCAAGAGATGAAATAAGAATGATGTTCCAAACAACCCCCCCTCCCCATCTTCTTTGAAAAAGATAATGATGTTTAACCCTTCATGCATAAAAGTAGCGACAAATTTGCACCGCGGAGTGCGGATTTAATGGTTAATGGAGTGGGTAGAGAACCATAATCTTTTAGGTTCAATCCCAGTGGAGACAAAAATCACTAGGTGATTTCTTCCCATCTGCCTAAGACTTGATTGGCGGAGTTACCCGGTACCTGTGCTGGTGGAAGGTAGTAGGTGCCGGGTAGAATAATTTAAGGTGTGCACAAGTTGGCTCTGACCCAACTCAAACTAAAAAATAGGTACAAGTTGCAACATGTGCATCACGATTCAAAAGTGGGATTTACCAAAAATGTTAGGTAAGCCACTAGGACCTCTGCTAATACCAGTGCTTGTAATCTAACTCACAAGAAAATGAGAAAAATATATGATAGTTTGAGATAATTCTTGGCCTAGTGGAGGGTGCTGATGGATCATCATTATCGTCGAAGGCAGTGTCACTTCTCTCCAAAGTGGGTGGATTGTTTTGGTCAACAATGCAATCAAGAAGTACAATAGAGGTATGACTGGGGGACTTTGTATCTCCCTCCCTCCACCGCCACTACTTTGTTGTGCGGGCACGCACTTAGCTGCATTCAAGCTTTGGTTAATCTATTATTTCTCACATCATCCTTGGAATCACATCTGTGTAGGGTAATGTAATCCGATCTAGCTGACTGAATTTGACAACTATGTGAATCTCCATTCCTCCCTCTCTCGCGTTCTTAAATAGGCACTGACTTTGTCCTGTTTCAGCTTAAGTCATCTCTAATCCTTCCATAATTTCATTACCGTTGGCATGGATAGCAGGGTTCACTAAACCAACCTTGTCTGAGGGATCTCAGAGACTCAGACAACATGGTGAATCTCTTCGAGACCAACCTCTACGACACAGCCAATATTCATCCTTGTTTCTATGACATCCCTTCATCTCAACCACCAAGCCACATACCCCAAGTAACTTTATTTTTTTCTCCGAAAGAATAAGAGCTTTCAATTCTGAGCTCTACGTCACAATAATCAGGTATGAAATTCCATGAGAATTTTAAACGCATCCTGCATTTGTCCTTACAAATGCCAAGGAACAACCTCACAAACACGTACTCTGTCATTACCTATCTATCAACATGGTGTCTGTGCCTGTGTTGTTCAATTGTGTAAGACATAGCAACAAGTAACAACGGATACAATGGCCATTGCTGGACATGCTTGGAAATCATGCGAAGCAATCATCAGTGCCATGAGACTGAAATCTCACATTTCGTAGTTGGTATCGAATTCTCTTCCATTTCTTTTGTTTATAGCTCTTGTTATTATCAATCTGAAAGTTCAATATTTTATTACTCCCACCTCACACCCCGTATCAATGATAGTTCCCCACTAATCCTAGCGAGACTCAAACTCTTGACTTACTGATTGGAAGTGGTCGCATCTTGCTCATTGAACAATTTTTTGTGTGTTTTCTTTTTTTTTTTTTGGAAAGAAATTGAGCCAACCTTCTCGTCAGCTCAATGTTTCTTTTGAAAGAGAATTCACACACTAGTTTCATTGGGATCAAGAACAAACCATTTTACCTAAAATGGCTCCAAAAGTAGAAAAAGGTACAATCTTTTTGTTTTGTTAATGAAAGGTAAAGGAAAAGGCATGGACTGGGTATCATTATTTGAACATTCAACTAACAAATCCATGCCTTTATCGTTCCACTAGCTAATACCAAATTATCACATGTCCATTTCATTGTTACAACCTTCTTTTTCTTAATATGTAAAACCAGGAAGCTACGCACACATTCTTATTGATCACTGGTTATTCTTAACAACAAAGACTATTCATCTAAATCTTCGAGTGACACTACTAGATCTTCAGCAATTCAATCACTAAAAGCGCCCCCCCCCCCACCACCACCACTGGGGGCGAAGACACATGGTCATAAGGAATTGACCACCCTTCGTCGAAAAATTACATTGTGTATATAGGTAAAATATAACGTTTTAGAGGTATATAACACATATTGAACACCCTTTGTCCGGAATTTTTTTCACTTCTTTCAAATTTGAACACCCTTGGAGAAATTCGTAGCTTCGCCACTGCCCACCACACGCGCACACACACCCCCCAAAAAAAACTCTATTCTTCCATAAAATGAAATGCAGCAGTTCATCCTTGAAGTATGCCCTTTACAACAGTAACTTAAAATAGGAGTGTATCTGGACTAGAATACGGGCCTTTTGTTCTATTTTGTTTTAATTGGGATTCTTTTTTTTTTAATATAAGAACAAAAATGTATTAAACACATTGGGACCAAGAGAAAAGAGAAAAAAAGAAAAAAATTACATAGATAAAAGGGGGAATTGTATTTGACCTACCTAGGGCAAGACGAAAGGCGTTGATTTCGCCGCGTTCGGCGGCGTTGAAAAGGTCACGGAGGTGAAGAGGGATGTGAGAATCAGAGGGGTCTTCCTCCAACTCCAATTCCTCTTCTTCGAACAAACCGCCTTCGTCTTCCTCTTCCCC